AGCGGCCACTGCACTCCAGTCTGGGTGACAGAGTGAGACTTCCACTCAAAAAAAAAAAAAAAAAAAAAAGAAAAAGAATCATAGTCCAGTGTCTCAGTGAACAAGTTGGGAACTATATTTAGTTTGTATGTAGCCTGGAGCTCCTATAGTACCTAAATAATATACAAACCAAGTTTGTTTCCATATTGTTTCTATCCTCTCTCCCTCTTCCCAGTGCAGAGCCCTGCTTTCAGGGGCTACTCCAGTTCAGGTATTGAAGAGCAGGCCCTTACCTGACGGGTTACATTGCGGGTGATTCGCTCATATTCCTCATGGGCCAGCTGTATCTTAATCTTTTCCAGCCGGGCAACTAATTCTGGATTCTGAAGAAGAAAAATCAAATGAGAAAAATGATACTCCCTGCTTACTAGAAAGCATGTCACAATCATTGGTTCCAGGGAAAAAGCAATGCTAAGGGTGTCAGCAGGCCCATAAACTAGTTATACCTCTACTATTTGTTTTTTTTGGATCTGAGTTTTCTAAGCAGTCAAATAGGGAGGACAATATCTGGCTCTCCATCTGAAATTCCAAAGATTTAAAAGACAATTTTTCTTTTCTTTTCTTTTCTTTTTGAGTTGGAGTCTTATTCCGTCACCCAGACTGGACTGCAGTGGCATGCTTCCGGCCACTGCAGCCTCGACCTGCTGGGCTCCAGGGATCCTTCTGCCTCAATCTTCCAAGTAGCTGGAACTATAGGCGCATGCTACCACACCCAGCTAATTTTTTATTTATTGTAGAGATGAGGTCTCGCCAAGTTGCCAGAGCAGGCCTCGAATCCGCGGGCTCAGGCAATCCACTCACCTCGGCCTCCCAAAGTGCTGGGATTACAGGCTGAGCCACCGAGCCTGGCCTAAAAGACAATTTTTCAACCCCAAAAGTTGATTCATAAATTCAATATCATGAATAAGCCTAACTCAGCCAACACCCACTCTCACAAATACATTGCTTACATACCCGTGGAGGCTTCACAACCTCTGGGAGATATATTTCACTGCCTTCTAGAAGTTCGTGAAGGTATAGTTTGGAATCTGGGAAGAAAAGGTTTCACAAGCACAGTGATCCATAGAGCTGAAACTGAAGGTTAAGATCAGAAAAGGGTCTAGCCCTTCTTTCTGCCAAAATAAAACATGGCCATCCCTGAGTCAATCCATCTCCAAGATCATTTTAAATTGAGAAAAATTTAGGATAATTCCACATAAGTATCTCTTAGTGCTGCACAGCTGACTTTAGCTGCCAACTCTTAATTATTCTGCTAATGTTACAACACATACACCATTTACATTTGTCTTTGGGTTAGATCATTTCTGTCGTCACTACAGAACTGCCCTAAATAGGTTTAGGTGATGCTAAATAGATTTAGTGACACTAAATATTCAGTGGACACTGTACTAGGTGATCTCTTTCTAAGGTCCTTTTTGGTTTTTTTGAGTCGGAGTCTCACTCTGTCACCCAGGCTGGAGTGTAGTGGCACACTCATGGCCACTGCAGCCTCGACTTGCTGGGCTCAGGCAATCCTTCCGCCTCAGCCTTCCAAGTAGCTGTAACCACATGCATGTGCCACCACCTGGCTAATTTTTTCTTTTTTGATTTATTGTAGAGACAAGGTCTCACCAAGTTGCCTAGGCTGGTCTCTAACCCCTGAGCTCAGGCAATCCTCTTGCCTCGGCCTCCCAAATTACAGGCGTGAATCACCGCGCCCGGCCAGGTCCTTTTTAAAAGTTCTAATAGCTGCGCATTCTATCCTTTATAACTTCTGGGTAGGCTGTTAATTCTGTCTGGCAAAAGCTTTTACATGCCAATTTGTGCTATTGCTTCCCTTTACAGACAAGGGAACTGGGACTCATTAAAAAAAGAAAGAAAGAAAAGAAAGAAAGAAAGAAAAGTATCAGATAATACCACTCTTGTTTTTGCGCTGGAAAGAGATCCAGATTTCCAAACGGAGCAAGCTTATTATGCTAAATTGGCTCCTAATGTGGTGAAAAGAGAAAGGACAATCTGTGAGATGGTATTGAATTAGAACCTGGACTTCCTCAAGGGTCGTGTGGGCCTAGGTGTGCCTGGAAGCGAAGAGACTCTCAAGAGAGCAGAAACTGCAAAAGTAAAATTTGTCATCCACGAGGAAGTCCCATGGGAGTTGAGTGTGTGGTCCTAAGGCTTATGAGGTGACTCTTGGGTTGGCTAGATGAGAGCTTCCCGGGAGAAGGAAAGTGACGTAAAAAGACCACAGGAGGGAGTAAATCTGGAAACAGGGAGGCGACCTCGAACCGGAGATTGAGGCTCACCCCTTTCTCTCAGATGCTGGTGCAGATCCCGAATCAGACGGAAGGAAACCAAGCGTTGAGAACCACTGGAGCTACCACTGCTCGCGTGCTTCTTCCCCAGCGCGGCCTCAAGCTCGGCCCGCAGCTTTCGGGGTAGCTGCTT